AATCAAATCTAATTAATTCTAATATTAAAATAATTCTAAAAACAAATTAAATCTATGCTATAAAAATAATATATTTCTATTCTAAATAAGAAAAAACTATTTCTAATAAAAATTCAAATAAATTAAACTTCTATATAAAAACTATAAAAATAAAATCTATTCTAAAGAAAGAAATAAATAACCATTCTAAATGATTAAATAAAGCAAAAAATAATAAATAAATGCAAAATGCCATGGGAAAACGGGCGAGCACCGAAATGTGCCGATATTATCAACATGGATTGAATTATCAAGAGGAGAGCGACTTTCGCTCGATTTTGACACTGAGCTTTTCGTTTGAATTAATTTGATTCGCCTGAAACGCGAGCAAAGCGACTAAAATCCTGACAAATTCAATCCGGCTGATAATACGGGCAAAATGCGAAAATGATATGCAGATGAAAAACGAAGCAAAAGCCAGTCAAAGTCGGAAAACCGGTGGGCAAATTTTGGGGTGCAACACATGTTACTTCATTTCATTCTTTTTCCAGGATTATTAACAATTAGTTTCGAATATATTTATGTCGGTTTTTCTTTACATTTCATAGGTGATAACAAGGATTACTATAGCTCTAACTCGGTTGATCGATCTGAAATTCACAATAACAACATTATAGAAGTCCTGACTTTAGAATTCCTAAGCTCTCTGAGAACGTCTGGCTTGCCAAACCACCACATTAGGTTAAAGATAGGGACGCTAATCATGCTTATGAGAAACATTGATCAAACTGAAGGTTTGTGTGATAAAACAAGACTAATTGTCACAAAAATGGCTAACCACGTTCTTGAGGCTGAAATTATGGGTGGAAAAGGCCACATAAAACTCATATACATTCCACGAATGGATATGTCCTTGTCCCAATCACCTTGGTCTTTCAAACTAAACAGGAGACAATTTCCAATCATCGTGTCCTACGCCATGAGAATTAACAAATCCCAGGGGCAATCCTGGGATTGGGTAGGCCTCTATATCCCAAAGGATCTCTTTAGTCATGGTCAACTATACGTCGCAATCTCTAGGGTAACTAGCAAAAAGGATATCAAGATCTTGATTCATGACGAAAACGACAAACTTGTGTCTTCTATTGGCAACATCGTGTGCAAAGAAGTTTTCAGCAATATATAGGTGGCACATCATGTGAAAGGTTTTTCATTCTAAAACTCCTCCCATTTTCTTATCAATCTCTTTCTTATTGTTATTATTAACTATATCGCCATAACTTATTATTTGATTTTTAATTCCCTTTTTATACTTTATTGACCTATAACTTTTTCTTCAACCATTATTTGACTCTTTCATTTTCCTTCTCTTTGCAGGAACATTTTATTTCCCAACCACAAGATTGGATCCATTTTCATGGGTGCAGCGTTTTCATATATTTTTGGGTCCCGTACTTCATTTGTTTGTACCCCACCTTTTTGTAATAACACGTGGTGTTTTATTATTTGCCAATTACTTTATACTACTTTGACCTATTGAGAAATGTTAATGTATTCCTAGACATTTTCAGCTCCTAACATTTTTCTTATTGTATTTCTTCTTCAAAACCAAACTTCAATTTTTTATTACAAGACTTTTATGTGACTACCAAAATACAAACAACTTTTTTCCTTCATGTTGCATGAAGTGTGTCTATCTTTTGATAAAGCCATTATATTGCATATTTTTCCATTTCCATATATCCAATGTCACTATTGCTATCACATTATTACTTTCTACATTCCTGCTCAACAGACTGTGGCATCTCATTGTTCTTATTTCAAACCATCATTTTACTTCAAACTTAACATGACATAACAAAACCATAACAGACTGTGGCATCTCATTGTTCTTCAAACTTAACATAACCATAATTTTACTTCACATCATCATTTTACTTCAAACTTAACATAACCATAACATACTCTAACATCTCATTGTTCTTACATTACATACTAAGTCATACTTACATATAAACAAGTACAAAAACCACTAATTAATTCAACATGAAACTGCCACCAAGTTTTCATCAATTTATCAAAACACACATTCATACAATATCATTAAGTGATAACAAAACACACTTTCATCATCGTAACACCTAACACCCTACAATCAACGAATCACAAAGGCCATGTAAAGGCGATGAGATGGAATATTTATGCTAAACCAAAGCATGTCACCCCTCCTAAGCTTCCTCTGCTTTGTAAACTGATACCATCTGTGGCCAATGAACCTTTCCGTCTTCACGGCCTTATGGTTACACTTTGCAGAATGCACCTTTGCATGGTAAAGCCTCATGTTGTATGCATTAATAAGCTCTATTTCCTTATGCTTTGGTCCTAAGATGTTCTTGCAACTTCCCTTGGAAAATGCTGAAATATTGTAAACATAGTGGTTACGATACACATATTACACGTCTATAACCCAATATTTATAATTATGTTTCAAATTCTAACTTACCATAACATTTCTCATGACTTTGTAACCATAACTTATGTGTCTGACCCATGAAAATTCATCCTCAACTGCTTCGTCCTCAGATTCATCTTCTTCTTGAACAACATCTTTGTCAGTTGAATGACTCATTCCCTGAACATTCACTTCATCAACTTTACCGTCCATCTTCTTAGTAATGCCACCCTCTGCACTTGGTCCTCCTTGAACGTCTCTCAAACCTACAGACTTGATAATGTAGGAAAACAATGAGTTATACACATATCAGCCTACATAACTATCATGATTCCTATTATGAATAAAACATCTCAACATTCATAAAACATCATAATAAAACCCTAATGTTTGACAGAGTTAGAAGCAAAATGTTTAACAATAATGAAATAATGTTACATCAATTTATATGAATTACTTCTGTTTTAACTGTCGACAATTTTTTATTAGGCAATACCACAAGCTTCCTAAATCATACAACTAACTTCTTCATTCCTGACATATTCTGATGCTTAAAATGGTTAACCGACTTCAACTTATGTTTACTGACTTCATTGTCACCATACAATACATAACTTTCTACACAAATTAGATAACACAAAAGCATCAACACATCTTACACAGATCCCACAAACACACTGTTAAATAGAAGTATTTGCAAAATTTGCAAGTAACAACATTCAATCACCATCCTAACATTAATACCCCCTTCTTATACTATACATTACTTTGAATAACTCTTACTCAAATCCCACTTGCAAACACACACAACAAAAACATCATGTTAAACCTACAACAACATAAGTGTAAAGCATATGTAACAAAAATAACACTTACAATTCACTCATATGCTTAACACAACATTACCTTCCACGTGATTGAACAACCTTATCAACATCTCCAGCAACTAGGGCCTTGCATGCCCTAAATTCACAGGACGTGTCACAAATGTCGCCTTCGATATGGATCTGCAAGTCGTTTAAGCATACATCATTATCTTTAATCTGTCAAAATTTTAAGGACTTTAAAACACATTATATTTATACTATCACAACAACATCCAATACTGTCTAAGTTTACTATTTTCCTTAGAAATTTTTTGCATGTCGTCTAAAAATTTTATACTTACCTAACCATGACATTGGGTCGACCTTCCCATTGCTTTCCATGGCCTCCAGCGTCCACAGTCGTAAAATCTACAACCACGTCTTTGTTCCCAACTCCCTTCGGTTTAGGGAGATCATGGTTGCTTCCTAAAACATCCGCTACCAGCATTCAAAGCTTCTCATCAATTATTTATTTCTCCCTCAGCCACTTTTGATATAATATGCACGCAAAAAATGAAAACACTATGAATTTTTCTATTCAAAAGCCGTAATCCTTAACATGCACAACTTTTCAACTCACTCCGCCTGTTTCCTCACAATTGCAACACGATCCATGGGAGTGTCTTTCGCCGTACCTACGTTTCTTCAGTTACTTCTCACAATTCCCTTGTGATAACTGCAACACCGTTACAATACTGGCCACACGTTTTCCTTTATAAACACCCCAAGTCTCTTTCCAACTTCATTTTAGAGAACTACAACACTCAATCTTTTTAACACTTTTGCTGCAACGATGTTTGTTTCCCTATCTGTTTCCAATGTCTATAATTTAACACATTTAGGTTAGCATATTTTATTTTCTTATTAATCACGTTTTCGTTTCTTCTTTTTCTTTTGGCAGTTACAAAAACATTTACTCAATTAGTTTATGACATTTGAAACACACCACTCTTTTCACAATTATTGTCTATTATTTTAATTTAATTATTTCTTTTTCCTTTTACTTTTTCGACTTTCTCATTTTATATTATTATTATTTTTAATCTATATCATTTAAGATATATTTTTTTTCAAATTATTTTCTTTCCCCCTTAAATAACTTTATATATTTATTAATGTTTTCCATATTTCCATATAATTTTAATATTTTTAACTTTGTTTTTTTAAATTTACTATTGTTTCTTTTACACTTCTTTACTTGAATTCAATATTTTTATGTACTCAATTATATATTCAGATCCATATCTCTACAAATGTACGGATATTCTACTAATTAAAATAAATTTTAAATTGGTTCAAATTCATACATCTTCAAAAATACCGTCCCTAGAATATGTTTTTTTTTAAGGTAAGTACGTAATACCAATGTTTTCTCTTGCTTTATTTTTTGATTCCTTTTCCGTAGCAGAAAAGAAAAAAAAAAAGGCGGTATCGCCATAAAACAGTGGGCTACTACAAGATACAATGCACCCAACCCACTAAAACATGTCCTAATCACATGCTTAACATAAACTCAAATCCTCGTTCCGCCACATCATCAAAAAAATAGAACGTCTCATTTGACTTCTTTTTCTCAACGAAAACTTCCACACAATATATAAAGCCGAAAAACCTTTCGCTAACCACATTCTCAGTTTTTCATCAATTTCTCTCTTCCTTCAAAATCTTTTCACTTTTCTTCACCTTCTTTCTTTCACGCTACAATGGCAGATGCTCAAACACAAATCGAATCTATCAGGAAATGGGTCATTCAACACAAACTCCGTACTGTTGGTAAATTTCTCATTCTTTTCCTTTTATTTTTCCTGGTTCGTGTAATTTTCAATAAAATTGATTTTCGATTTCTGTGATTTTTGTGATCAGGTTGTTTGTGGCTTAGTGGTATTACGGGTTCAATTGCGTATAATTGGTCTCGACCTAACATGAAAACCAGTGTTAAAATCATTCACGCCAGGTTTGTTACAGCTCCCAATATTTTTAATTAGCTTAGGGTTTTCTATTGAATACAGATTATCCCGATTTGTTATGCGCACAAATAGTTCTCTTTTTTTATTATCAAAATTCTATGCAATCTATGTTTGATGAACAAATTATTTTTGTTGAAAGGTGTTTAATTTGTTTATTGTTGCGAAATTAGTTGAATTTTGTAATAATAATAATAATAAAAATAATTATTGTTATTATTATTATTATTATTGTTATTTCTTCCATGGCTATATGCTGCGCTGGTTCATTTAGCTGTGGTTTTCACTTTTGTCTGATTAGTTTTGGGTGGAAAAATTGGTTTTGAATTTGAATGTATTGATTTTGATACTAGATTTTGATTAATGAGTTGAATCTATTATACGTTTATGTCAAAGTCAATTGAACAATTAAGTCGAGGTTAGATTTGTTTGCTATGAATCTCAACTTTAGGATAGAATTTATTTTGGGGTTACAATTGCTTACTCAAAGTTGTATAAGGATCAATGTTATGATTCAAATTGTTTTTAAAATCAATTGTGTTTCAAATCAATTTTACCTCTCATAAAAGTGAATCCAAATATGTAAAATTCCTTTTGTTAACATTGTTTTTGAGTTTTTAAGAAGTTTGATTTTTTGGATTCCAAAAAATTCTCTCGAAGAAATAGTGTTTTGCATTAAGTTACACTTTTTCCAAATCATTTGTGAGTAAGCATTGAGTTTTCTTTATTTGTGCTTCTTTATATGTGTCGCATCACCCCTGTTTTCGTTTTGGCATGATGCTAATTCAACTTTCCCCCTCAAGTGAAAAATTTATCGGCTAGAACAATTGAAATATCAGATATGATCCCTTTCATTTCTAGTTCTTGGATGGCAATGGGAAAAGGGAACTTATTACTTGGTTACAGTGCATGGATTGATTATAATTTTATTGCTTTGAAACAATGCTTCTTCTGTCCTTTTCTTTTTATCTCCTTCTATTTTGCTAATTGTATACTGACAATTCAACACAAATAACACCAAAGAGATAAAGTATTGTCATTGAAAAAATGGCGTAGTTGTCATTATTAATTAGGGATGGAAATGGAGTGGGAAAAAATGTATCATTTTCACAACCCTAAAGGATATGAGGTTAACTTTCTATGTCTGCACGGTGAACTATGATAGTTTTATTTGATAGATGTTCATATTAAAATTTCACTTTTGTGATTTTTTTTCTTCGAAATTGCTCTAGGACACCTTGCACAATTTGCTCACACTTTTTGCTGATCTTTTTGAGCTATTTTGTTTCAGGTTGCATGCTCAGGGTCTTACACTGGCAGCATTAGCCGGGGCTGCATTAGTAGAATATTATGATCACAAGTCTGATGAAAGGGCTGCAAGGGATTCTAGGCGTTGAATTGAACGCAGTTAGAGTTCCTGGAATTCTTTATACTAGCGGTTCTTTGTATCTGAGATGTCTCTAGTAGAATCACATGGATTACAAATTAGGGTAGAAATAATATACTGTGATGAAATTTTTACTTGCCGGGGAGAACGTATTTCTTGTTGCAAATCTCGTTGGATTATTTTAGTTTAGTATCAGTTTTGCTCATTTTAAAGGGTGAAATAATGGCTATCAATTATTTGATTTGAAAGTAGGCTATTGATAAATGTGTGATTCCTTATGTATCTCTATGTATTAATCGTTTATTTATCAATTGATATTTGATATATTATATATTTATAAATTAATGATTGTTAACCACACAAGTTGTTTATCTCCATAGGCATAGTGTGAACTCTACCATATTATTAAAATTCGGTGTTAAACATCATTTGTAACAATTGTGCATAGTGTGAACTCATATGGCATGTTTTTGAAAATATCCAATCTAAAATCAGCATGGCGAAAAACCAAATTAGGCATTCATTCCATTAGAGCAAATTTTTTCTTATAAATAAGATTTCAATAGATTTAAAAAGCAATTTTTTTTTTATAAATAAAACATCTAATTTAGTTTTTTAGCGTGCTGATTTTAGATTGCATATTTGGCAGGATGAGAAGGTGAAAGGGAATGTGAAAAACAAAGGATGGTTTTGTTATTGAGAATTCTTACCCCAGGTTTTTTAGGCACCCTGTGTGCTTTCAAAAATACTTTTTTGTTTTTGAAAATGTATTTTCGGACGCACATTTTTTTTACTCAATGTTGATTTTTTTCGGAGTTATATTTACGGAGTGTTTCCGTTTATATATAGGTTTGGAACAAATCAAAGTACATTTGCGCCAGCGTTCTTTCTCTTTTCTCATTCTTTATTTTTCAACTTCTCACTCTCAGACTCTCCAAACTTTCTCAATCCTCAACAAACAAAAAATTCCACCAAACTGAATTGTTTTCAATAAAGTTCGACAAGGAGCATTCATCTCAACGATCAAGACACTCCAACTTATTCAAAGCTCGATATAATCAGTAAGTTTTCGAGTTTTCGAGGTATTTTCGTGTATTTCTCGTAAACGAGTTAGAATATAGTTTTAGGGGTAGAAATAGTTAGATAGTTTTAGAAACATAGTTTATAAACAATGAATGTATTGTTTGTTGGCTGAAACAGATTATCAGGGGTTGAAAAATCGATTTTCTTAGGTGGGGGACATCATTGACACTGCTGTTGGAGTTGCAGGAAGTTCCGGAGTTACATCTACAGAACAAATTAACGTTAGGGCAATTCCGTAGAAGTAACTCCAAAACAAATCAAACCTTGTGATTTCTAGGTACTTTCGTAAATACATCTCCGGAACAAGTCTAACTTTCTGAATTCTGCGTTTTTCTGCATGTATACATCCGGAAGTAAAAAAAAATGTTAATTTTCTTTTTCTTTTTTCTTTTTTCTTTTTTAATTTATTTGTATCTAATTTTTTTTTATTGGTTATACCTTGCAGACATTATGGCAGAATGAGAAGATAGATTGCGACTTGTACGAGTTTCATAACATGCATCTGTGAGACGCGAGCGGAGCCAGGCCACTCGTTACCGAGGCCAATATAGTTGAGGCACATGTTTCTTCATCACATGTCCAGGATATTCCCTCGACCTCATATCCCACCCCATCATCCACTTGTTCTTCCCGAAGGCGTCGGGATTCAGCAAAGAGTTCATCACAGGCCCCGTCCTCCCGCAGGCCTCGTCGGGATACTCCTGGTTCTTCTCCTAATGTTGATCTGGTGCCACCTCTAGAGGGTGATGACCCACCACTAGAAGATGTTGGTGACGACGATGATGAGAAGCCTGAGGGTTTCCTAGGGGGTCCCTCAAATATGTCCCTCCTGACAGGGTATGCCGACCATACTGCCAGACATGTTTGGGATGGAGAGGTAACATTACTCATATTGTTTCTTCTTTTTTTCATTGGAAACTTATAATTTGTACCATTATTTCTTATTAATATTTTTTCTTTTTTATGGAAATTTTCAGACTCGTCCTCCGCATAAGTTCTATAACCACAAGCGGAAGATATTATCTTTGGAGCAGCCACAAGAGGCTTGGTTTTAGGATGTCATTGTCGCCTCTAGTTTGAAGAACCTTTGTGAGATCAGTTACATCGTGATCCACAACGGGATGCTGATGGGCTTCACGGAGAGATGGTATCCTGAGACGTCCTCCTTCCATCTACCGCATGACGAGGTCATGATCACACTGGACGACATTTTCTATCTGCTACATATACCGATCAGGGGTACCCTCTTCCGTCATGGTAGGATGACGAAGGAGGATGCAAGAAAGATGTTGGTCGATGAGCTTGGGGATGATCCATTGGATGCGCTGGAGGAGGTGGATAAGACCAGAAGAGCTCATGTTAGGTTCTCCTTTCTCACCTGTATATTTGGTTAGGCGCTCGTTGTTGCACGCAAGGCAGATGGTGATCCAGCTGAGGTTGAGATACACAGACAATGTATGCTGAAATGTTATTTTCTATTTTTAGTTAGCACCCAGTTGTTTGTGGACACTTCCTCCACATATATGGGATGTCGCTTACCTGAGGTACTTTTTGGATTCCACACAGATCCATGAGTACAACTGGAGGCGCTTCCTTGGCTTTTTTCAAGGCTAGGAGAGGGATGCCCGTGGAAGACCAGGACTGTAGCAGGGAGCGTGACACTACTTGTGGTAAAAATCTTATATCCTTCGTATTTTTTCATTTCTTTTCATTATATATTCAAGATAATGATTGATTCTGATGTTTTTTATTTTCATTTCATGCTTGGATATTTCATCACTTTCTCATGATCGTCGGGTGGGAGAGTGTACCTGATTACACAAAGTAGATGTCACGTGCCCGTGCCTTTCTTCTGCTCAGGGGAAACCAGACGGTCGACCCTTACAAAGTCTATCTCGATCGCCTAGCTGTTGAGGACATTTGGTACAATGTCTATGCTAATCACCGTGTGACGCGCCCGTTTGATGACATCTTCCTATTCTCAAGATGGTTGGCATGCAGTTCGACCATCATTGCTCTATATTTGTCTGAGCGCATCATGCGATAGTTCTCCGCTCCTCTCGGCTTGACTCGTATGCAGATAAACGAGATCTATACCGACTACCAGAAGCACATGGTACCTAATGAGGCTCGGGCGACAAGAGCGCCGACAGACTGGAGTTGTGCTGATAGATATATCATGTGGTTCTTCACCGTATCACACCTCTACATGGTGCCCACTGCCGAGGGATTACCATCCAAAAAAGATCATCAAGAGATCTTAAAGGAGTAACATACTCAGTTGAACCACACTCGAGATGTCTTGCCTCCCTGTCATGAGATAGTGGAGATAGGGCGGACAGACATTGTCGTCGGTTTCTTCCCTGAGATGGCTGACCACAGGCGTGTATTGGATGACATCATTGTGGTGACAGAAGGGGCACTTATATAATGCACGCATCGCGCCAGGACAGGTGGGATCAACGTGCAAGGACGCCGACCGGGCGGTCGAGGAAGCGGGAAAGATAGACGAGGCAGTCAGGCACACACAATAGTGGTTGTGATGTTTTTTTGATGTACTGTATATATATATATATATATATATATATATATATATATATATATATATATATATATATATATATATATATATATATATATATATATATATATATATATATATATATATATATATATATATATATATATATATATATATATATATATATATATATATATATATATATATATATATATATATATATATATATATATCCATAAATCATATTATTTTATTTATGGATGTATGTCATTTTATATTCATCTGTAACAGTTAATTTTCATCTACGACCAACAAAATGATTTTTTTAAAAGCCTGTTCTGATAAGATTTTGGAGTTGTAACTCTAGAACTTTTTTCGTAAATGCATCTCCGGAAGCATCCCGCGTAAAGAAAAGAAGGTTGTGTCCGGGTGTGTATCTTCGAAAGCAGAGGGTATAAAAGGATTTTAGTTAGGTGCCTAAGAGTATCAAGGGGTGTATTAAGAAACTATCTTGTTATTAGTCTTGGTACTTGTTTTTATGGTGACATTTAGCATGGACCGATATGGACCAATGATTTTTTGTTCGTTATGGATAGGGCTGGAAATGAGTCGAGTCGAGTCGAACTCACCTCAGCTCGGCTCGACTCGTTAAGAATTGGTTCGAGTTCGACACAAACTTTTTTTTAAGCTCAAACTCGACTCGTTATAAGTTCACGAGCAGTTCGGTTCAACTCGTTAGGTTCATCTCATTAGGTTTAACTCACATGATTCACGGACTTAAAAACTATATATATATATATATATATATATATATATATATATATATATATATATATATATATATATATATATATATATATATATATATATATATATATATATATATATATATATATATATATATATATATATATATATATATATATATATATATATATATATATATATATATATATATATATATATATATATATATATATATATATATATATATATATATATATATATATATATATATATATATATATATATATATATATATATATATATATATATATATATATATATATATATATATATATATATATATATATATATATTAGTATATTTGACATTTTAAATAAATATATTTTTTTAAAATAAAATAAAAGTTATCATATTGAAATTTAACTTTATCTTCGAAATCTACTAATTCAAAACCTACACAACTTTCAAGAGATACATTTGAGAGTTTAATTCAAAAACTATTAAATTGAAGATTAAATTTGTCTAAGATTTGGAGTAAATATTTAAACCTAATCTTAAAGACAGTATAATTCTTCTTATATGTAATCGAATTGACTCATGAACCTAACGAGTCGAACTATGTATAGTTCAAGTTCAACTCATTTAGTTAACGAACTTAA